GTGTGTGTACATGTGTGTGTGTGTGTGTGTGTGTGTGTGTGTGTGTGTGTGTGTGTGTGTGTGTGTGTGTGTGCTCATGTGGACAGATGTGGAGCCAGTTTCGATGTCAAGATTGCTTCGCCGTTGTTTGCGGGGAAGCGAGTGCTGGAGCGGCACCGTATGGTTAACTCTGCGTTAACGGAGGAATTGAAGAGCATCCATGCCTTAACAATCAAGCCTGTCACTCCAGAACAGTGGGTTGAGTAGGTTAAGTAGAGGGGGAAGCATTAACTAGAGTGAAGAATCGTTGGGTTTGGAGTTAAGTTGGGTTTGGAGTTTAACTTTTAAAGGTTGAAGTTTAAAACACATTGTGAAAGCAAACGCAACACATTGTAAAAGCAAACACTCTCAGACTGTTGTGTGAGGGGGTGAGGAGATGGTTCTCCATCATCAGTTAAAAAAAAAATACACACAAGGGTGAGGAGATATTTGTTGTTATGATTGCGGAAAAACAAACAAAATAAAAATAATCAGGAGTGGTGGCAGGAATTGTTTGCTGAACTTTTTTTTTTTTTTTTTTTTAAGTTTCAAAGCCTCTTGGAGTAAAAAAGGAGTTGCTTTTCGGGAATGACAGAATCTGCCAACTCAAGTGTAGGGTTAAGTTGAGAAAACACACCCTACGGAGAGTCATTGGAGTTAACTGACATCGGAAAATCACATAGCCCAAGACTTACTGTGGATTGAGTTTGTTCGGGGCGTGTCTAAAAAAAAAAGAAATAAAAATAGTTCTGTTGGGGTGAAAAAACAACAGAAGGATTAGCCCCCAAAAAACAACAGTTGGATGGATAGATGGAAGGAGGGGATGGAAGGTCTTCGACCAAGTATCTGTGAAAGGGGGGAAACTACAGAAAGGGAAAAGAGAAAAAATGAAGTTGCGAGGTTGCCCTCGTCAAAGTGTCGTGCAATTATGAACCAGTATGGCATTGAAGAAGTACACCTCACATCATTTGGCCCAATCCCATTTATAGATGGAAGGGGAGCGGGTTAACAGAGGCCTAAATTTTCAGACAATTTGTCAATGTATTCCATTTATAACAAAACCCAAGGGTCGTTTTAACTGGACCTTGCCACCAATTCATAGAGTGGAGACCATACTAACTAATTGCCAAAGTAAATAAATAAATAAATAAATATTAAATAACCTAAAAAAAGAAATTTAACATGAACTTTGACCCCCCCAAACCCTAATTTCGGTTTTGAACCCGTTACCCAAGGAGCTGAAAGTGGTGGTTCCCGTTTACCACTTGTCTGCCATTGAATATCAAGTATGCACCCCACAGCATTGCCTTAGTTAGGAGGTTGCCCATGCCAAATGCGCAGACAATTGCGAATATGCCCTTGAACATTAAGTATGTACCACACAGCATTTCCTTGTTGTTTTCCTCATTGTGGAGATTGCGCGCATCAAATGCTCAGCCAATTGCCAATGTGCCCTTGAAGAAATGTGCGCCTTGCAGCAGTTGGCTACTCTGGCAGAATGTAAAAGGGCATTGCTCAGCAGAAAGTGGGTTATCAACTTATTAACTTATTAACTTATTACCAGTGCATGAGCATGAAGCAGTGCGAGCATCATTTTTGGGATTTTACGAAATTTAATCGTGTAACTGCCAGAAATTTTTATTTTTTCCCCCCTCGTGTTTTGAAAAACTTTTCGGGATCCGCAATTGTCAATTTTTAATTATTTTGTTTCCCTTCTTCTTTCAACTTTTTTTTTTTTTTAATGATAAAAACCACACTATGTTCTTCTCTGAAGGTTCTTTTTGCCTGTCACTACCTTCCTGCCACTACTCCTAAGACTACATAGAGGGGACCCCTGCAAGCGTAGGGCCTCGCAAACGAGGTAAATCATGTCGCCCCCCGCCCCGGCAGCAGTAGTCAGAGATGGGGTGGGGCCGCCGGTGGGGGTCCGGTTAATGCAAAGACCGAGCATTTTGCCAGTAGCTGTGCCTCCCTTTCTCATCGTCCCCCGCCCCTCATCGAGTAGCAGCAGAGGCTGTGGCCAACGCTCTCCCACACACCACACACAACCTCCTCGTGTTCGCACCCACACCCATGTTGCTCATAGACCCCGGCGCCCTGTAATACCGATCAGAGGTATCGAGCGGACTATCACCGCTGGTTGGCACTAAGTGCGCCGCCACAGGCAGTTGTGGGACTCGAACCCACAACCTCCTGAATGCCACTTGCGTGCCTAACCAACTGAGCTAGCCTGCTTGATAATTTTGTTTCTTTTTTTCTTTTTCTGTGAAGGAAAGACTCAGGAAACAGACCGGTAACCGCTTGCAACCCCTCCCATCTACGTTTTTATTTATTTTTTTCTTTTCCTTTTTTTTTTCCCTCCTGATTGCAAGCTGCTTTTTCCTCATATGCCCGCACTGGATAATATGTGAGGCAAGTAGCCTGCAATCAAAAAAAAAAAAAAAAGGACCGGAAAAAAAACAATGTGTATGTAGTGCGCTCATGTCACCTCTGCACTCCTAATGTCACTATTTCTTTTTGTTTTTTTCTTGATCGCAGGCTATATGCCATATTGTCTGTGTTCCCGGTGCGTGCTCTAATGTTTTTTTTTTTAATCTTCTCTAGTCTCCTTAAAAAAAAAGGGGGGGGAGGAGAGGGGGGGTAACGAGTGCTGTGTACAAATAAGTGGACAGTATGGCACACACGCACTGATATTATATTCACGAGTCAGTGTGACGGTGGGACTTCATACGGAGTTGAACCACCACCAGTCCGATCTGCAAACGGGATGCGCCGTTTAACACGCTCTTTTGGCCTATTTTTGGATGCAATTGCATCAAATATGTGATTTAGTAACATGATACTAAAATCACTAAATTGGTCTATTTGCTAGGCTACGCAGGCTGCACCCAGTGCATGCCCGGGTGGACACCCATGTAGGCCCTGCCTCCGTCCACACACCAAGGATACTCCAGGCATACAGAGGCTTGGAATTGTTTCCTTTCTTTGTTTTTGTTCTTTTTGTTTGTTTTGTTTTTAAAGGTAAGCTATGTTTTTTTTTTTTTTTTTTTTTTTTTTTTTTTTTTTTTTTTTTTTTTTTTTTTTTATTTTTTTTTTTTTTTTTTTTTTTTTTTTTTTTTTTTCCTTTTCCTTTTTTTCTTTTCCCTTTTTTCGCTTCTGCGCTCTGATTCACAGTGTGACAATATATATCCCGTCATTTGGCCTGTGGGCAGGGGCGGTGCTTGCATGTGGGACATTGGCTGTTCCCTTCCTCTCTTCTTTGCCTCTTTGCCTTTTGGCTGTGTGCAAGTGGGTCGATATGACACACGGGGGTGGGGCCAGCCGCCGCTCAACCTACATCCACGTGGGCGGCCTTGTACGCAAGAGGTTCTGAACAGGGGGAGTTATAAGGAAGAAGATAAAAAACGGAATTCATTTTTTCCTGTTTTTCTTTTTTTTCGCATTTGCGCTCTGATATTCATGTGACAATATATAACTCCGACGAAACAGTTTGTCTCAGCCCCTCGTTTGTTGTCCTCTTCTCCCTCCCCTCCCTCCCCTCCCTCTCTGCCTACTACGGTTTACCGGGCTGTGAGAAACTGACATGTGGGATCTCACATGTCTCTCCCATGCTATGTGACATTGTGACACAAAATGATGTTAGATGAGGCACATACGTTTATGGGGACCCTTTTTTTTTTCCTTTTTTTTTCTCTCTTTTTTTTTTTTTTTTTTTTCTCTGCGGTGACCTGATTGATGTGTGCAGACGAAACAGTGAATCATGGTTGTTTTGCCCCCCTCACCCCCGCCCCTCCCCCCCGGCCCCCGGAAAAGCCCTTTCCCCCTTCCAGAAAGGAATGAGAATGGCACCCCTTACGAGTTGGGACTTTATTGACAATAAACCCCCAACCCCCCTCCTTTCTCCTGCTGCTGCCCACCCACTCACCCCCTCCCCCTTTCCTTTTCACCCTTCCAGAAAGGACCAGAATGGGCCCCCTACGAGTTGATAATACTTTTTTTGTTTTTTTTTACTTGATATCTAATTAATTATTACTCGACATGGATCGATTGTATGTGCTACCAGTTTGTCAGGAACTTTTTTTTTTTTTTTTTTTTTTTTGGGTCAGGAACTGAATGGAGATGCATGGACATGCATGATTTGTCTGTTGGGAGAAAAGGAAAAATTTGAAATCCCAAAGAAAGCGAAAAGGGAACCCGAAGAATTCTCGGCCTTTTGGCTAAGATCAAGTGTAGTATCTGTTCTGATCAGTTTAATATCTGATCCGTGGTCCATCGGGCCACATAAAAAAAAAGAAAAAAAAAGAAAAAAAAAAGGAGAAAAAAAAAGAAAAAGAAAAAAGCACAGCTCTACAAGGACGTGATGATAGGCAAACGATATGACAAAAATCATGGGATAGCCCCAATTGAAAGAACCCAGGCCAATAAGGACCTGTTTTTTTTTTTTTAACAAAGAAAAAAAATAAATGAAACAGTATTTAAAAAATCAAAAGTAAAAAAAGTGAAATGAAGTAATCTATTATCAGCATTCTGGTCAGACTCTTCTCCTTCTTGTTCTTCTTCCCCGAGGGCGTACTCACGCTAGCATTATCTTAAATGTATCTGACCGTATTTACGGCCGCGCCTGGATGCATGTGGCTGCAATTCCGTCCTGAAATAAGTAAAAAGTCCTAGTGTGAGGGCGTACTCACACTAGGACTTTTTTACTTACAGTATTTCTGGACGGAATTGCGGCCAGATCGATCCAGGTCCGGCCGGTATTGTGGTCAGATACATTCAAGATAGTGCTTGTGTGAGTACGCCCTGAGTATGCCCTGAGTGCAATACGTGCGGAAAACTGAAATGATTGCCCTTTTCCCCCCCCCAAAAAAAAAAAGATTGGAAGCGTGTACGAAAAAAGCATTTTGGCCTCTGCTTTATCATTATTCTAATGCTGCTCTCTCTCTCTCTCTCTCTCTCTCTCTCTCTCTCTCTCTCTCTCTCTCTCTCTCTCTCTCT